CCCTGACGTTCGACAGCCCAGAGCGATGTTTGGCACCACAACTCGTGTAGCTCCAGGATCAGCTCAGGAAACAACTTTCGTACAGCTCGCAACTCATGTGCTCCCCACCCGTCAAGGCCGGCAGCACCTTTTGCATGTGCAATGATGTGATCCAGTGTCTCAACTGAAGGCAACCAATCCACTGGCTTGTCTGATTTTGGAAACTCAACATTGTCTGCATATCCTGTCCAAGCACGCACATGTTGGTGAGCACGATCAGGAGGACCACCGGGGCACCACTGTCGCTGCCAATCATCTCGCATTTCTTTGGCCCCGAAGGGCGGTGCTGGTGCTGACTGCCGAAAGATCGGAGTCGTCAGCTTGTAGAGATCCCTCGACCATGTCGCGAACCTCTTCTTCCACTCCTTGGACTTTTGCTGCTGCATGACTTTGTTCTCCTTCGCGATGGCGGTGGAGACAATCTCGAGAGCGTCAGCGTACGTTGGGAGGCCATCCTTCGGACACAAAATACCGTCCATGCCCGCCTGGCCAAACTGCTGCAGGTGCTTGCCACTCAATACCTCATCAGGTGTGTGCTCACCACCCGCACGTATGTAGTTTGAATGCCGTCGATGAAGCCGCAGTAGCCTCCTCAACGCAATCGTCTGCTCTGGTCGGCGCACTGATCCAGTCCCAACTGGGCGCGTGGAAGGCGCCAATCCCTTTGGCCTTTCGGCCTGCCTGTTCATGATGACGAGGTCGTGCTCCACTGCAATGCGTAGCCCAAGCTCAGCACGTCTATACCATCGCTGCCAAGCTTCATACAGAGAGGAAGGGCCCATCTGCACGTGCTGGTCACGCTGATCAAGTTCATCTCGAAGCTGCTGACATTCTTCCTCTGGCGGCACTCGCTGGAGGACATAATCAGCTGTATGATGGAGTCGTACCACGGCCCTGGTCCACAGGGGAACTTGAATACGATATCTGACAAGCCCGTGGTGAGGGACGCCAGGAAGTAACTTCATACCTTCGCACTGCGGAGGCTGAACTGCGAGACTACCAAAGAAGATCGCTCTCGTCGGCGTCGTCGCAACTGCTGTTGTTGGCACAGTCTGCTGTGCCATCTGGAAGCCTGGTCCCAGCAAGTGCTGGTACGCATTCCTCCAATTTAGATCCCCGAAGATGAAGATGGGGTGGCCATCAATGCCTAGGCACTGGACATACTGCAGGAAGTGAGAGAACCACTGCATGCTGAATTCCTGCGGCGCGTAGACGAGAGGTAGGTCGCCACCGCCGTGCGTATGCCCACCATACGATGGGAGAGGGTGTCGTCCCGTATGACTGTAGCTCGCCCTACACGTGGTCGCCACAGGATAGCTGCCCCACCCTGTCTCACAGCAACCCGAGATCCACTTGGTGGTGGTGTCGAGCAAGCACACGAAAACCCAGCTTTCTTTGCAATATTGATAATCCAACGTGGGTGAGTAGACTGTTGACGTATCTCCTGAAGCGCAATAATATTGACATCATCATCTGCCATGCTGTCTTCGAGGATCGTCTGAAGTCGAGCTTTGGTTAAGGATGTAACATTGATTGTGAGGACTCGTGTCGAGGTGGATACCATGGTCTCCTCGTCCTCTGACCCCTCAGCCACTTGGGGTTCATCTCCACCGCCTCGAAGAGGATCATGGTCTGGAGTGAAACATTCTACAGGATCTGCACGTGAGGCCCCCCCTGCCACTGCCCAGCCTTCGTTGCTACCAAAAGGCCAGCGAGGCGCGCGCGCCCATCCGTGACAAGGGAGATCCTCACTTGAATACGTGAAACTTTCCACAGAAACTTGGTGAGACCCTCCGTGCACCTCAGGTAACTTCAGGTACTCGTGGAGGTACTTGGTGTAGCTGCAGCGCGAAGCCTCCCCCGCCACTGCCCAGCCTTCGTCTTCAACAAAAGGCCAGTTAGGCACAATGGCCCATCCGTGGCAGGGAAGAAGATCACATATACTCGTGAAACTTTCCACAGAAACTTGATGAGGCCCACCCTGGATCTCAGCGTACTTCCGGCCCTCATGGGGATACGTAGTGCTGCCACCACTTGCTTTGCTACATGAGGCCTCCCCTGCCACTGCCCAGCCCCCCTTCCCCACAGGAGGCCAGTGGGGCGCAAACGCCCATCCGTGACAGGGGAAACCCTCACTCGATCTCAAAATACTGGTATCAAGAAAATGATAGAACCTTCCATTCACTCCGCATAACTTCGACAAGTCGTGGAGGTACGCGGTGCTGCTGCAACTCGTGCTGGCAGTCTGGGGCCCACCAAGGGCCTCGGTAAGCCCCCTTGGGATTTGTCACTCGGCAGCAGCAGCAGGTCGGCGTAGCACTGCTGCTGGTCGCCTGCGCACCCAGCCTCTGGCATGTGTCGCCTCCCGCTTCATGGCCACCTTCTTCCGCTCTGCAATCTTGCGCCTGTAGGCCGCTAGAGTACGCTGCCCAGGCCTGTTGAAGTAGTCCTGCTGCCACTTCTTCAAGTACTCTTTGTTCTCTGGCTTCGCGGACCACTTCCGACGATTGGCCAACGTCTTCTCATATCGTTTCGCCCAAACATCTTTGCCATGAAGTCGTTCCTTCACTTCATTTGCCTTCATGGTACGGTCCAGCCGCTTTGTACATGGTTCAAGCTTCAACTTGGCAATCGTTCTTTGTATTCCACATCTCGTGCACGAATAACAAGTATCAGTTTGCCTCTTCGTCTGTCTGGTGGTCGCACTCGCTTCCAGTACGTGGCAGACGTTTGGCTTGAAGTCAGGGTCGAGCTTGTCATGCCACTCACAGTAGCGTAACCAAGCTCTCTGCCGTACTGCACGGTTTCGCCCAGGTATAGCAAATTGTCGGTTTGCTTCTCCTTGAGCTTCCTTCGTCTTCCCAGCGGGTGTGATCCCGACGCAGTAACGCCAGTGAACCCGTGCCTCCTGAGCTCTTTCACAAGCTTGCTCTCGAGTTGGGAGCCAACCACAACTTGGGCACTTCAAATGCGCTGACCGTGAGACATCCACCGGCGTGCATGGCTCCAAGTCTGCAGCTTCATCAAGAACAGCTTCAGCAGGGCCTGCCGCTGATGCGCTTGCTCTGGACTTCTGTCGTGACTTGGGCGTGACACCTAATAAGGACCTCGCCCTCTTGACCTCAGACGTCGTAGATGCCGCCGATATTCCGAAGAAACTCCTCGCGGCATCCTCGTCGAAATCGTCGTCCTTGTGGCTGCTGGATGCTGCCACGCTTTTGCCTCCTCCCGTGAAGGCATCTGGGCATGGTAGGGCCGCTTCACACCATTGCTGGGCAACTTCTTTGGTGAGCGATGCTTTAGGGCGCAGCAATTGGTAGTGCTGATCTTTCAACATGACCCATGCTACTCTGTCGTACTTCTTGGGGCTCGTGTAAAGGGTCCACCTGCCCCCATTGGTATCTGGATTGAATTTCCAAATACGAATATCAACTCTTGCGGCGATAGAGGTACACCTGATTGTAAGAGAATCAGCCATTTTCCCACACGTTCCAATTCTTTGAATATCTGCGTCCGTAGCTCCGAACTCCTGCTTGTTCTTCTTCACCTCCCCCGCCACCAGGAGACGCAAAGATTGCTGGACACGTCCACCAGGGACCAGCTCGTTGGCGGGCACAGGCTTGTGCCCAGGCTTGAGCTCATGAAGACCAAGGCCCACGGCTATGTATGCACAATCACCTTGCCCTCCATTGTCTTGTACATCGCAGTGCTCCTTCCACGGTGGGTCTGGAGCTGCAGCTCTCGCTTGTTTGGCCGCTCGAGCTCCCGCAGGGGCTGCTTCGGCTGGTCGACGATGTTGATGGTCACCTTCAGCACCCTCAGCAGCAGCAGCAGGTGGCGCTGGAGGCGGGTCCGGAGGCGCTTCATCATCTGGCTTTTCCTCATCCTGCGTGGCGAAGGTGACCTTGGGCGGTGCTACCCCCCACGCACTCTGAGCTTTGACTCCTTGCGGTCGTTCACGATCCTTCCGCTGCGGTGGCTTCGCTGGTGCGACGATGACCCCACTGCTGAAGTTGTACGCCTTGTCATTCTGCGAGCACGCTGCAGCAAGGTCTCCCCGAAAAAACCATGTGCGTCGTCCCGTGCGTGTCGGTGACGTTACATTCGTCCATCCTCTCTGGATTGCCCAGGTTGAAAGATCCTCGGGCGCTGTCCACTCCGCTGGTGCACGCTGAACCGCCCACCTAGGGAGGAGGTCCGATCCAACTTGCTTTTCACTGAGCACCCCAAGGGGCGCATCATCACTTGGGCGGTACAAAAGGCGACCTGCAACCGTGGCCGCTGCTGCAACCACTCTGTTCCAGTACTCGTCGACGGACTCGTCCTGCCTCTGCTTGAACCACCGCGGCATGATCTTGGACTGCTGGTAGTTGCAGAAAACCCCTTTCGGGAGCTTCTCCTCCAGGAACTTTGGTATGGCATCGGTCTTGATGATCAGCAGCATTGCGATCTCACTTTCATAATTGAGAGCCCCCTTTGTGCGGACAATATGCCTGCGCAACTCTGCATTGAATACAATAGACGGGAGGCTGGCTGGCTTCTGCGACGCTCGTCCGAAAACATCGTCATCAGCAAAATTCTTGGCACACGTCAGTCTCATCACCGTAGTGGGTGACCTCGGGGCCTGGTATTCATCATCATCTTTGACTCCTTGCGGTAATCCTTGGCGCCTAGGCGCGCCGTCTCCGTAGTAGTAGATCTGGCACTTGAGAGGTACTGAACCTTTCTCCCCAGATGTCAAAACTTCGTCTGCAATAGCCCCCCGGATATTCTCAGACATTGAAAAGACTATGAATGTGGCAGCTGATCCGCAAGATGCAGTAAACCAATCATATGCTGCATGATATTCCACCATCGTATTGCATACAATGATAGGAGGCTTCCCATTCTCATAGACTCGCTCCTTCAAGGACTGTGCCACCCAGATCGGCACGTCGTTCCCCCAGTCGCTCGTCAGAATTCTAGGTATTGGCCTCGGTCCCTGCTTGGGCGTGGGACTCGTGGACGTCGTTGAGGAAGAAGCGGCGACATTCTCAGCAGTAGAATCATCTTTGCTTTTCCCACGTTTAGTAGTATCGACCCTCGGCAACATCGCGCGGAGACGTTGCTGCACTTGATACTCATTCAACGCGTAGTTCCCCTTGTCATACTTATCAAGAAGCTGACGTATCTTCTGAAGTGTTGGCGGCTCGAGCTTGCGGCCCGCCTTCTTAGTATTTGGCGATGTCCCAGGCAGCACTGTCCCGCTCAGTGCACTCATCGCAACCGTAATGTTTTTTATCTGCTCAGCTAGGTCATCGATACGCTTCCCCCGTCCACGTCGAGCCCGTAGAGCGCCTTGCCCTGCACGGCCACCTGGGTGACCTTCACCACCGCCACCCAGCAGTGGATCCACAGCACGTCCTGGTACTGGAAGTTGAGAATCATGAACTTCAGCCCCGAAGATCACGACCTCATCAAGAGAGATTTGATGCCCTGCCGACGGGGCGATGTCGCTGAACTTGGCCTCGGCACGGGGTGCCGTCCCGCCATCACCACTTGGAGGTGTCCAGCATCGTATGGCGATGTTGAGAACGCAGAACATTGTTACGACAATGTAGACAGGGAATGAGAACAGAAACACGAGGCTGACATCTTGCAGGGGGTCCGACACCTCGCCCCAACTGACCCCCCCAGTGACTGCTTTGAAGAGCGTGTAGATGCTGTAGCCCAGCGAGGGGAAGTTTTCCTGCAGAAACAAAATGGTCGCGTGGGTCGGTTCGCTCGCATCGTTGGCCATCGAACTCCAATCGGCGGATAGTTGTACACACACGATGGCGTAGACGTAGGTGAAGAATAGCAGTATGATTGAGGACCACAATAAAGTCCGCCGACCCCTCGTGGGTCTCTAGGCGTGTGAGATAGTTCCCCCCCCATACCCCCCCCCCCGGAACCCCAAACCAGAGATTTGACCCCCCCCCCCGGCCCGGCGCGAGCGCATCACGAGGCTTCTCCGGACCCAAGAGGGCGTCAAGACGGGGCAAGAAAGCCCCAAGATTGGGCGCCCGAGTTATCCGGGGTAACTCGGGTCCGGGGTAACTCGGGTTTGGATTCCCGAAAAAGGAACCCGAGTTAGCCCTGACCCGAATTACCCCTGATGATGTGGGGCTCTGGACGCCCGAATTATCCGGGGTAACTCGGGTCCGGGGTAAGTCGGGCTCGGAATCCCGAAAAACGAACCCGAGTTAGCCCTGCCCCGAGTTACCCCTGATGATTCGGGGCTCTGACAAGAGGCCTCCAAGACGGCTCACGAGGGCCCCGAGACGCCACACATGTGCTCCAAGACGCCCAAGATGGCCCCGAGATTGGCCAAGAGGCCTCCAAGACGGCCCAAGAGGTCCCAAACAAGCCTTCCAAGAGGGCCTCAAGAGGCTAAAATTGTTGATTTTCCATTGTGTTTTTCGGTGTTGTTTGCCTTTTTGTCTCTCCGGTTTCCCGACGCTCCAACACGGCCCCAGAGGCCCCGATGACAGCCACAATACGGCACAAGAGACCCCCAAGACGGCCCAAAGACGGCCCCAGATGGCCCCATGACGGCCCCAGAGGCCCCCAAGACGGCCCAAGAGGGCTCCAAAACTGCACCCAGAGAAGCCCAAGAGGGCGACCAAACATTTAAAAAAACTAGCTTTCCGCCCCAAGGATCCCCAGGCGGCCCCAAGTCTGCCCCCAGAGGCCGCCAGAGGCCCCCAAGACAATCCCCAGACGCCCCAAAGAACCCCCAAGAACCCCCCCAGAGGTTCCGAAACGGCCCCCAACTGGTTTCAAAACTACATTCCACAGGCCCCCGAGAGCCGTGCCGCGAGATCCCGATACACCTACAAGATGCCTCTAACCCATAACCCAGAAGTCTGAGCCTTCTCTTTGTGTCCCCCTCGCCCCCCCCCCATCCACCTCGGTCCACAGGTGGCTTCAACATTGCCTTCCAGAGGCCCCCGAGAGCCGTGCCGCGATGCCCCGATACACAAACAAGAAGCCTCTAACATATATAACCCAGAACCCAGAGCCTCATCTCAGTATCCCCCTCCTCCTCTTCCTCCTCCTCCTCCACCTCCTCCTCGTCCCCCTCTCCTCTCCTTTCGTTTCATTCCCCACCCTCCTCCTCTCCCGATCCTCTCCGATTCTTCTCCCCCCCATCCTCCGCCCCCCCCCCTTCTCTCCCCGCCCTCCTTCTCCTCCCCAGCACGCGCGCCCGATTGGGCATCATTTGCACGTATTGCACTTCAGGGTGCCCTTCTTTTCGTCGCGCGCGACGTAGGCAGGGCTCCTGGGAAACGCCGACTTCGGTAGTCTCCTCTCGCACGCGCCGCTGCACTGATACGCTCGGCCACTGCGCGCTGTGAACCCGAGTTTCTCACAGCCCCCGCACACCACTTTGAGTTGTTTCGTATTTCGATGATGTTCAACTTGTGTTGGCTTCAAATGTTTAGTGTCCGAGAACGCTCCCGGACGTCCATTTTCCGCGCATGTTTCGGTCTCGCGCGTGGTTTTTGTGTTGCCCGATGGTCCAGGATGGTCCTCGATGGTTGTCGCCGAGAAAAAATGCACACGTCCTTATGTTGCATCCTCGGGAGACCTTGTCTGTCCCGTCGCGGCCCTCTCCGCGTCGAATCCATGTCGGACGCGTCGGAACCGTGTTGAATCCGTGTCGAACCCGCGTCGAATCCACGCCAGATCCGCGTCGAGTCCGCATCGAGCCCGCGTCGGGCCCCCAAAGAGACACCAATTTTGGGGACAGGCGAAACCCCCCGAAGGTGCAACAGAAACGCCCGAGCGACGCCAAGACGCGGAGGTCTGCTCTGGGCATGCGTTGCTATGCTCTGGCAGCGAAGGCGAGGGGTGGGGGGCGGAGCCACGGCAGGGAGGGGCGGCAGCGGGAGCAGCAACAGCGGGAGCGGGGCCCCGATGGCGGAGGGCCGACAGCAGGCAGAGCTCGCACCACTACTACTACTAGTACTACTAGTACTACTAGTACGACCAGTACTACTAGCACTAGTACTAGTACTACTAACGACTACTACTACTACGACTACTACGACTACTACTACTACTACTACTACTACTACTACTACTACTACTACACTACTACTACTACGAACTAGTACGACTAGTACGAACTAGTACGACTAGTACTACTAGTAATACTAGTACTACTAGTAACTAGTACTAGTACTATTACTACTACTACTACTACTACTACTACTACTACTACTACTACTACTACTACTATTACTACTACTACTACTACTACTACTACTACTACTACTACTACTACTACTACTACTACTACTACTACTACTACTACTACTACTACGACTACTACGACTACTACGACTGCTACCACTATTTCAGCTACTACTACGACTACACTACTACTACTTCTACGACTACGACTACTTCTTCTTCTACTACGACTACTAACCTACTACGACTACGACTACTACTACTACTACTACTACACAATAATACTACTAACTACTACTACTACTACTACTACTACGACACGAATAATACTACTACTACTACTACCACTACTACTACTACTGATACTACTACTACTACTACTACTACTACTACTACTACTACTACTACTACTACTACTACTACTGCTACTACTACTACTACTACTACATACTACTACTACTAACTACTACTAACTGGGGATATTACGACTACTACTACTACTACTACTACTACTACTACTACTATACTACTACATACTAATACTAAATACTCATACTCCATACTACATACTACATATAACATACTACATCTACTACTACTACTACCACCACCTACTACTACTACTACTACTACTACGACTACTACTACTACATACGACTACAATACGACTACATACTATTACTACTACATATACTCTACTACTATACTACTACTACTACTACTACTACCACCTACCCCGACCACTCTCCTACTACTACTCCTACTACTACTACTATACTACTACTACGACTACTACTACGACTACTACTACGACTTTACTACTAACTACTACTACTACTACTACTTATATACGACACTACTAACGACTAACTACGACTACTACGACTAACACGACTACTACGACTACTGCTACTACTACTATACTCTAAACTACTACTCCATCTACTACTACGAGAAACACTACTACACTACTACTACTACTATACTACTACTACACTACTACTACTACTACTACGACTACTACTACTACTACTACTACTACTACTACTACTACTACTACTACTACTACTACTGGGCGTGTGAGATAGTTCCCCCCCCCCACCCCACCCCCCGGGACCCCAAACCGGAGATTTGACCCCCCCCCAGCCCAGCGCGAGCGCATCACGAGGCTTCTCCGGACCCAAGAGGGCGTCAAAACGGGGCAAGAAGGCCCCAAGAAGCCTCCAAGACGGCTCACGAGGGCCCCGAGACGCCACACATGTGCTCCAGGACGCCCAAATCGGCCCCGAAATTGGCCAAGAGGCCTCCAAGACGGCCCAAGAGGTCCCAAACAAGCCTTCCAAGAGGGTCTCAAGAGGCTAAAAATATGGGTATCCATTATGTTTTTCTGTGTGGTTTGCCTTTTTGTCTCTCCGGCTTCCCGACGCTCCAACACGGCCCCAGAGGCCCCGAAAACAGCCACAAAACGGCACAGGAGGCCCCCAAGACGGCCCCAAGACGGCCCCAGATGGCCCCATGACGGCCCCAGAGGCCCCCAAGACGGCCCAAGAGGGCTCCAAAACTGCACCCAGAGAAGCCCAAGAGGGCGACCAAACATAAAAAAAACGATTTTTCCGCCCCAAGGATCCCCAGGCGGCCCCAAGTCTGCCCCCAGAGGCCGCCAGAGGCCCCCAAGACAATCCCCAGACGCCCCCCAAAAAAACCCAAGAACCCCCCCAGAGGTTCCGAAACGGCCCCCAACTGGTTTCAAAACTACATTCCGCAGGCCCCCGAGAACCGTGCCGCGAGATCCCGATACACCTACAAGATGCCTCAAACCCATAGCCCAGAAGTCTGAGCCTTCTCTTTGTGTCCCCTTCGCCCCCCCCATCCACCTCGGCCCACAGGTGGCTTCAACATTGCCTTCCAGAGGCCCCCGAGAGCCGTGCCGCGATACCCCGATACACAAACAAGAAGCCTCTAACATAGAACAAAGAACCCAGAGCCTCATCTCAGTATCCCCCTCCTCCTCCTCCACCTCCTCTTCGTCCCCCTCTCCTCTCCCTTCGTTTCATTCCCCACCCTCCTCCTCTCCCGATCCTCTCCGATTCTTCCCCCCCCATCCCCCGCCCCCCTCCCCCTTCTCTCCCCGTCCTCCTTTTCCTCCCCAGCACGCGCGCCCGATTGGGCATCATTTGAACGTATTGCACTTCAGGGTGCCTTTTTTTCGTCGCGCGCGACATGGGCAGGGTTCCTGGGAAACGCCGACTTCGGTAGTCTCCTCTCGCACGCGCCGCTGCACTGATACGCTCAGCAACTGCGCGCTGTGAAATCGAGTTTCTCACAGCCCCCGCATACCACTTTGAGTTGTTTCGTCTTTCGATGATGTTCCACTCGCGCTGGCTTCAAATGTTTCGTGTCCGGGAACGCTCCCGGACGTCCATTTTCCGCGCATTTCCCGGTATCGTGCGTGTTTTTTTTGCGCCCGATGGTCCAGGATGGTCCTCGATGGTTCTCGCCGAGGAAAAA